GTTATATCTATGTTAAAATGCATAATGATATTTTTAAATCTAATATGTTGAGGTTAATATAATTTACAAGTTGAATCACCGGCCTTCAATTTTTACTAGTTTAGGCCTTAACATACGCCCTTCGTGTTTGTCAATATTATGCTTTTTACAAAGCAAAATCCCTTAACTATAGAATAAAACATCCAATGCTATATTAGCATATTTCGTGTCACATTTGATAATTTTATCAGTATATGTTCCTAGAACTATATATATAATTTATAGACCAAGAAAGATAATAAAAGACGTTTTTATATCTTTTGAACAATTGTAGACAATAGTATGAATATTCAGATATGTTAATACTAATCGAAAAAGATCCATACAAATATATCTATAATGTGGACTGGAAATAGTATAAAATATGGCATATGAAATGATACCAGATAAAATTATAAATTTAGTTAATGGTTATTAAATAAAAAAAATCACGTTTCCTCTAGAAGGAAACTGGTTAAATTTGGGTAATGAAATATTGATATTGAGGTTATCTAATATCTTGGCGGCAAGGAACACGGCACGTGTCACAAAACACAGTTTCACGTAGTGGTGCGTAAGGGGAGGGGGAACTGCGCACGCGCACATGACCTTGAGCCGCCAAAAACATGAACACGGCTCAAAGTATTTTCTAATGTGTTCTATACTTGATAATTTTGACACGTTTAATACTTTGCCCCCTTGTTCTGAAGCAACAAAGGTTTGTGCTACAACCAGTTTTGAACATCTTAAAAACTGCCACTAGAATAACTTGCTTACAATAATCTCACAATAATATATTAGGACAATAATCCGTTCGCGGCTGGACAACTACCCAACGTCTAGTCTTTATATATATGTATTTGTTTAATTATATACATTACAAGTGAACACTACGAACACTTACGACGATTTCTTCTCGCGTTGCCATTGAATTATCTTCTCTTTGAGTTCTGAAGCTGTAACAATTATTTGTATATAATATGTATTAAGATTTTGTAATTACATTGTTTCTCTTATTGACAAGTAAAAAAAACAATCCAAGAATTATCAAATTGCTTTGATATTCAAAAAAAAATGTTGAACTGGATAACCTAATAATTAAAAATATTTAAGCTGACAACATGACCATCAATTACATACATAAGCAATAATCAAATAAAATTGGAATATTCTAGTTATAAGAGTAAATAAAATGGGTTAAAGTAAAGCAAATTGTTGGTATGATAACATAATAAACACAGTTGTAATAGTAACAAGATAACTTTATAACCTTTAACATAAATTATCTTATGTCAAAGGCGAAAATTAAACAACTTTTATTTGACAATTGATCTACAAAATTCGATATTATGATTATAAGTATGCTATTAGGGAAAGTAACTATAACACAAGTATTTTAATACTATAGTCAAACAAGGATATCTAAAACGCCCGGAGAGGTGCTATTGTTTAGTTCTGTCAAAAAGGGTGATAAAACATTTCATAAGGTTTGCTAACTGATGATCTAGACTAGATCTTTGTAGATTGGTGGTCGGAAATAGCATTAATTAATGTTTTATTCGAAGTTTCCTACCCACATAGCTATAGACAAACCTATGATAAAGAGGAAAAAAATGTATTTCTGTATTGAAATAACTCAAAAACTCAATGGCCAATTTCGAAAATTCCTTCACCATTAAAAAGCTACGTTATCAATGTAGCACAGGGAATATTCAAATATTTTTTTAATTTCACGGGGAAAAAGTTGCTAGCAACAGCTAGTACATAATTAAAAAAGACAAGACAGCTACAATAGAACAAAGATCTTGTGATAGTTTGATGACATTGCGCGAATGAGTTGTAATTTTTAAGCCTACCGGGTCAAATATGCAAGTTGGTCTATACGTTGTAATATTATTGTAATAGATATCAAAAGTGACAGTATAATGCATAGATGTACCTGGACGCAGCTGGTCTTCAGTGAGCGGTTGCCTGTTGAAGGGGTCTGTGGCGCTGTTGAGAAGATGCCGCAAGATCACCGATCTGTCCATAACCTGCACACAAATTACATTGAATATTAACTAAATCACACGACCCTTGCAATGGCATGCAAGAAAAATGTTCATTTAAATCAGTTTTTTCCAAATTTCCAATAGCAGCAAAAATTTGTCACGGTAACTATTAGCCAATTGCAAAGTCCTTTGTTGTCTTAGCTTTTGAATTTTGATATTTAATGCAAATGAGTTTTACAGAACGTAAACAACAAAATAAAGTTTTAATATCATGCGGATGGAACCTTTAACTACTAAACAAATAAAAAAAAATATTAAACAGATAGTTTAAAAAAAAAATAAGTATGATATTGATGTTTTAATAAGAAGACGTAAGTATTGGATTTTATTCAATACTTGTTTGTCGGTATTTTTTTGTAGATTTACCTTCCCCGAGGGCAGCACAACGGGATCAGTCATGAGCGTGTCCATGAGCGGGTCGCGGTACTCCTCCGGCGCGTCCGCGTACTCATCGCTCTTTTGCTGATTTGATACTGGAATTTAAATTATTCATTACTTTATTACACTCAATGAACATAAAATATTACTCACTTGCTGTCGTGACTACGTCTAAGTGAAATTAAAAATATAGCCTATGTGTGGTTACGTATCTTTTCAATGGTGCAAGAATTTGAAATTGGCCCAGTAATTTTTGAGTTATTTCAAACCTAATATAAACATTTCCATTTTATAATATAAGTATAGATTAGCTAAGGATTTTAGAGAGTATAAATGAACTTAAAGGCAAATACAAAAGAAACTGACCGGCAATTTTATATGCATTATCAGCGAGCGCCTTGAAGCGCTCTATTTCGTTGGGCGTCTTTATACAGGACTTGGCGAGCCGCACCGCCGCCTCCTCGAACAGCTCCTTACGGAATGATCTCTGTAAATAAACATTATAATCAATTCACTGTATATCAAAGCAAAATAAAAAAATGTCTAGAAAATACTAATTTTTATTTCAAATCTGTCCCCTAAATCTCATTAAAATTGGTCCAGTCGTTTCGGAGATTATTAACAAACGCGGAATAGCGAACAGCCGAGATTTGAAATATATATATTTATTTTCACAATGGCATAGCAAAATCGGCTTTAACATTATAAGCATAGAGTATTCCGGTACCACTAAGATATAATTTACAGATAGAATAGTAAGAATCGAAATTGGTTTGTCGTTATCAGTACAAAAAATGATTTCTTAAACATCCCATACAGACAGTCCCATTCAAAGTATAAATGTCAAATAGAAATATGTGAGAAGTGAGTAATTATAATAATAGTGACCTCGTCAGCGGCGAGCGCGGCGTGGAAGTGCGGCGAGTCGAGGTGCAGGTAGATGTCCACCAGCTGGCTCAGCAGCCGCCGCGGCTCCCAGCCGTACTTCTCAGGGCGACGCACCTGCAACAACACTACACTGTAGCCACACTCAGACACATTACAGTCATTACTCAGAGACATTTAATGATCACTTAAGTGCTCCCACAATAGTATCATTGATTGAAACTGAATACAGCAGTAAAATTTCTTTAAAAGTGTAGCTTGTTGTTGTTGATGTTTTTTTTAAATGACTAAAGTAGTTTGAACGTTTTGTATGCATTGAGACGGTGACTTAAAAAAATAACCAATGCAGCTTTTAAATGTGTTTGTACAAGAAAACTTAGGTCATCGGTACACAGCTAATTACAATAGGTTGCTTTTTGTTGTATTAAACAAGGTAACATTTCTGTAAGTGTACCACCGCGGCTTCCCGCGACTGTACCTTGAGGTTCTTGCACTTGGGGCCGCAAAGCTGCTGCAGGTTGAAGTTGAGCATGGAGGCGAGCCGGTCCACCAGCTCCGCGCGCAGGAACGGCTCCTTGATGTCCACCGTCAGGTACTCCAGCATGTCCACCGTCTCCCTGCACAACACACGCGTCAATTACATCACTATTGACCGCTAATCATACTTCTTACTAATACAGTAACAATATGTTCCCTTCGCATCAGAGTCCACAACCTCTATAACATAGACACTTGATAACTTAAAACCTCTATAACTTAAAATATTTCCTGTTTCCCTTGGACTTTAACTTATCGAGGTTCTACTGTATTATAAATGCGAAAAGTTTAGATGGATGTTTGTTAGAGTTTGCCATCTAAAAAGGTGAATGGATGTCGATGATTGGCGTAGTTGTAAAGAATAGTCTGCAAGAACTTTTCTATTTTTTTTTTATTTCATATGGACGGCGTCGCAAGCAAAAGCTAGTATATTATAAATATTACTCTTTTGTGAATTACTGTTAATAGACTCTTGTTATATATAATATTCAATGTTATTTACCTGGCGAGTGTGAGATACGAGCGGCACTGCCTCTCGTCCTGTGCGAGGGCGCGCGCGCGCACGTCAGTTGACGGCCCGCCCTCCTGCGCCTCGTGGATACGTTTCAAATACTGGAAATATAAAAAACGCGATATTGTTATACTTTCTATTACTTTTATAAAAAAGAATTAAAAACATGTTCTCATTTAAAAATTGAAATTTGAGAATCGGTAAGTATCGACTTCTCTATCTATTCTAATATTATAAAAAGGAAAGATTTGTATTTTTGTATGTATTGAAATACCTCAAAAACTACTAGCCCGATTAAAAAAAAACATTAAAAACCACGTTACTATTGAGTAATATAGGCAATGTTTTAATTTCAGACAGACGAAGTGGTAAAAAAGCTAGTATTATATGAGCTAGTATTATATTATTGTATTACGAGCTAGTTATTAGCTCGTGTTTGCCTCTTTGTCCGCGCGGAAATAAAAATTGTAATAAATATAGCCTATGTTACTCTCTGATAACGTAGCTATTTATAGGTGAAAGAAGTTTTCAAATCTGCCTAGTAGTTTTTGGGTTATTTCAATACATTCAAACTAATCCTCTTTATAATATTATTAGTATAGAATAATAGATAAATACTAACCGTAAGACACTCGTCGAGTAGGAATGTGGTGTCGTTCATCAACATGTTGATAAACTTGACGAACTGCCGCCCCGAGCGAGACTCCTTCACTATGGCCTGAAATCATAATAATACTGTCAAAAACTTATACAAAAGTATATTCTTATAGTTACCATTTTCTAAAAAAAAAACAGGTATACTAGTTCGTTTCGTTCGTAATTGTTCGTTTGTAATCGTAATCGTTCGTAATGTTGAAGAGGGCACGGTATTTACATTTAAAGATAAAAATTAAATTAAAATGCACAACAGACTAGAAATTTGGCATAGATGTAGAAGATAGCCTGAAAGAAAACATAGGCTACTTGGTTTAGTTTTTTATCGCACGTAGACGGAATCGCGGGCGTAAGCCAATGAAGTATAAAAATATTCAATAATCCTCGCAGCTCGGAATTTTATGCGTCGCTGCGTTGCATGGTACAAGAATGCGTTGGAGGGGATGGCCTTGAGCTTTTAAAAATTCTGAAATGATGTATACTAACTTGTTTATGTATGGGACGGTCCCACATGCCCTTGAGTATGATACTAATGTGGAATCGTATGGTGAACTTGTCGTAGAACTCTGTGCTCTGTCCGGTCGTCTCAATGTCCGTGTAGAAGCGCATCAGGGCGCTCGGCAGAGACGTCTGAGACATCGGGTGGTCCATGAATCTGAAAAATATATTTTACATGGTTTTTAAAATATACAATAAGTAAATATTTTATACATAAATGTAGAATCGTAAAGTTGCGATTGATTTTATCTGTCGTTCAGATAAAAGAAGTCCAATTTATTTGTTTATACAGTTAACATGCCTAAAAAGACTGTGAAATTTTAAAATTTGACGAAATAAATATTGAATATTTTGAAATCCGCAAAATTCCATTACAATAGTATCATCATAGCTGGTTCACACTTGGCCAGTTGCGATGGCCAGTCTAGATTGTATGACATGACTAGTGTCAGTCAGCTTTCACAGTCATTTGAGCTAGTCCAGTTATTAGGTGCTACTGACCAACTGTCCTGGCCAAGTGTGAACAGCGCATTAGATTGGCATAACTCAATATAGCAAATAATAATCACCTTTCGTATACATTCTTGAGCTTCAGTGGTATAGAGAGGTTAATGACGAACAGTACTTCGACAATCTTGGCGACGAGGTAGGGGTTCTTCAGCAGGCGGGAGTTACACACTGCCGTTAGCAGCCACGTCACCACCGGCTCC